GCAAATCACACCTGAAGTGTTAAAGAAACTGGAGAAATGTGGAGCATCCACACACAACATAGATCTTCATTTTGATGAAGCCAGACCATGAGCAAGCTACCTTCATGTCTGGGTGGAGTGCAATGGTTCAACATACAGAATGCAGAAGACTCCATGCGGACTTCAGCCACCTATCTCCAGCCAGGGTATCATCTCTGGGCATCTTATTTTCCATTAAAATCAGCAGTTCTTAGGGCTACAAAAGTTGCTTTGATTACAAAGACCTTGGATCAAGTTTTTGTTCTTAGAAGCAAATGCTGGGCTGAAAATGCTGGGCTGACAAAATTATCAGTTCCTCACCCAGTGGCCTGCTAGTAGAGATGCTGCACTCACAGCCAGTGGCTTGCTACTTAGACAGAGCCCTCACAGCCCAGATTATGTGTTAACACCTGGCTTCTAGGATGACAAATGAAAACAGGACTTCAGAAATGATGCTTGTATGGTGGTGTACATTTTTTTTTTGGGGGGGGGGAGAGGGGTCCAGTCATCGGGCCTGAACTCTGGGCCTGGGCGCTGTCCCTCAGCTCTTCAGATCAAGGATAGCGCTCTACCACTTGAGCCACAGCATCACTCCAGCTTTTTTCTTTTTGCTTATGTGGTGCTGAGGAATTGAACCCAGGGCCTCAGGCATGCAAGGCAAGCGCTCTACCACTGAGCCACCTTCCCAGCCCAGGTGGTGTACATTTTTAAATTTACTTTTATTCCTGCTTTTCTTTTCATGTAGCTCTGTCAAATGCAGACTGAAGACAACAGAATTCTTCTCTGTGTCAGGAGAGAAATGGTAAGCAAACAACTTGCCAAACATTTCCTCGAAAATCACCCAGCTCTTTTAGACCAGAGTCCAGTACGCCTAGTTAGTCAAATGTGGAGTTCTGCCGGGCGCTGGTGGCTCACGCCTGTAATCCTAGCTACTCAGGAGGCTGAGATCTGAGGATCGCGGTTCAAAGCCAGCCCGGGCAGGGGAGACCGTGAGACTCCTATCTCCAATAAACCACCAGAAAACCGGAAGTGGCGCTGTAGCTCAAGTGGTAGAGTGCTTGCCTTGAGCTGAAGAGCTGAGGGACAGCGCCCAGGCCCAGAGTTCAAGCCCCACGACCAACCAAACAAAAACAACAACAAATGTGGAGTTCTATATGCACAGAATATTAGATTGTGTAATTACAGTAGTTAAAACATACTAAACCTCCTGGCAATTAGCTCTTACTCTTACAACAGGCTAAAGAATTTAGGAACCATGGGTCGCCTGAATTTTCAGGAAGAAAACCATTAAAACCTGTCCTACATGTTCCCCTTTGTGAAGGTAGCTGTGTCTAGAGAAATGCTTTACACCACCATTATGGATGGAGATAAGAATATCTATAGGAGAGGAAAGAACGGAACAATGCAAGATGGAAACAGTTAAGAAAAGTTAACCCAATTGACATCAGGTTAAGAAATGTGTGTGAGGAGGAGGCCTTCAGCTATCCCAGTTTTAGCTGCAGACCACTGTGAGACTGTATGAGCTTTCTAGGTATTTTGATTTTTAAAGAACAGACTTTGTGAAGTTCAATATTTAGACTCGTAATGTTGGCTAGTAATCAAAAAAGCAAAAAAACACTGTATAGGCTAAACACGTCTTGGAGCTGGTACTGTGGCTGCTTCATCTTTTAGCTTTTAGATGTATATAAAAAAAAAAGGAAGGCGCTGTGAGATTGAAAAGTAGGCAAAGGAACTTAGAAAGTCTGCAAATAAGGGTGGCTGGAAACTCGAGGGGCAATGAGTTGAGCATACTAGGACGTCAAGGGGAAGAGGTGTCAAGAGACTGGCAACAACCTAGTCACTGCTTATGCTTTATTCAGGTCACTGACAATACTAGTTCTTTTCCATACTGTGGTTGAGATCAAAACTTGTTCATTACTTTTCTTCTTTTTTTGGTGTGGTACTGGAGACCAAACATGCATGCTAAACAAGCACTCTACAAACTGAGTTACATCTCAATCATCTTTCTTACATTTAAAGACTTTGTACCAGACTTTCTTAAGGATTAAATAGGAATGGTAACTACCTTGGCTGCAGTCCAAATGAGGAACACTGTAGATGTCTGTTTAATGATTGCCTTCTTTTAATCGCTGAAATTAAAGCAAATACTCTCTTTTAGTTAATATTAGAATTTCAGAATATCCAATTTTTTTAATAGTTAAAATACTAGAAAAAAATTAAAATGTGCACTTTATTTACACTGGGAGGGTGCAGAAAGAGCATTTTGGGACTGGCTTGCACAGATGCAGGACAGGCATGCTTCCCACCGACTTACTGCATTGCACTCATATAATTTCTCCATTCACATGTAATCTAGAAAAACCTATTGTCACTCTCACATACGCAATTTAAATTATGTATATGCAAATTCTCGCAAGTTTTACACACACCACTATAATATATGCCACAGAAGACACAGTATTTGGTAATCGAAACTTAGTATTAGCGCTTTTTTAAAGAGAATTTTTACCTTGGGGGTTGAGATCTTCCCACAATGAGTTATGTGTTATTCTGCTCTACTTACCACAACTTCTACCTACCGTGAGTTAATCACGCCTCCTTTTCCCAACCCTGACCAAGGAATGCGTCGGTGCTGTAGTTCAACCAGTCTGACTTAGCATTGGATACCAGGTGTCCATATAAGTTAAATGTCTTCAAAACAAAAGCCTTTTCAACTTAAGGTAATTTCTTATTGAAGAAATCAGAGATACAATTACAGGTATCACTAGTATTCCTAAAATAGTATTGTCCATAAAATGAATTAAAACTATTCTTCTCATTTAAAGTTATTAAAGGAGTTGTAACAACATAAAATTTATCCAATGTATTTAAAAAATATGAGGCCAAAATGTTTCCTAAGAGTAATTCTTAATTGTGGATTCTCATTTGGCCACATTTCATCCTGCAAAAAGAACTTGCTGGGAATGGTGTCACATTAGCTTTTATCAAGGAATAACCAACAGACAACAAGGGAACATGATGCAGCATAGTCCAGTCACTTATCCAAGTATTAGACTTGGTTTCTGATTTGGCAAGGAACAACTTCGCTTACATTTAGCATATACTTCGCTGTATGAGAAAACCTGGGCCGTTGTACTTATCTAGTACTTAGAAAACCTCAGCTAAGTATCTATTGTGTGTAGACGTGTCTTCACTTTGGACAGGGCATTCTCAGCACCCCTCACTTGGGTCCACATGTGGAGCTGCTATTGCACTACAATGTGTATGTGAAAACCATTCTCATACTGTGTTTCTCTTGACCTTTTCCTACAGGAAAAAAAAAAAAATGTTTATCTATCACCTAACCCATCTTTTGGCTAAAACCTCACCCATGAATCATTTTCTCAAGTAACAGAATCAAACAATAAACATACTCTAGAATTTTCCCTTGTAGCAATTTGGTAGTTTTATGTTTATTACTACTGCAACTTGTATAAACATGAGATCTGCAATGGTATTTCCCCTTTAAAATTCTCTTTTACAGTGTCTTCAACAGGAAAGATGACAATTACATGTAATATCCTAAATTGAAAATGAGACAAGACTGCATTCACAGGCTTCAAAGAATATTATAGGCATAGAAATTTAAGTGACATAGTATTGTGACAACTTGTATAATAGCAACTGGACAGGCGTCTTCAAATTTTCCCAGAATACACAAACTTGCTATGGTGATGGGAACTTTTACAGATAGTATCATATTCAAGATCTAATTGACAACAGTACTCTTCGATCAAATAACTTATTTGTTGACATGATCCAAAATGACCATCTCAAGAGCAATTAAATCTGTCATCAGTATACTGTACATTTCATATACGCATCCAAATACATATGAAGGTTAAAGTCTGGTTTGGTAGAACTGACATTCTTGTGTGATAGAATTATTACGTCTACTACATGTAACTCATTTCAGCCCTAAATTTTATAACTCAAAACAAATATATTTTACAGAAACAAACCATTATTTACAAATTAAAATTCATCCTGAGAATTTTTTATTATGCGGAACAGCTTCACAGGAAAGGCAATTACCAATCTGTGACACAAGAACGCACCAGAGTTAAAAAAAGTCACAATTAGAGGTTCATTTACATAGATTGTGACCCAGAAAAGCATAATGGTATTTAAAGAATCCCCTTTTAAATTTAATTTCATACAAGAAATTAATCATGTAATTTCAAATTCCAGTGTTCTTCCCCCTTCAATTTCTTCTACTGATGTTACAGTGTTTTGGAAGGTGATGAACTAGAAAGAACCCCGGTGGTAAAGTTCCATAGTACCCCCCTTGGGCCTACATAAGGAGGTGGGCTGCCCCATGCTGACTCATCACTCATTTCTTTTCTGACTTTCAGGAGAAACAGACCCAATCTGCCTCTGGCCTTCCATATATATGAAGTTCCTCTAATAGGAGCGGTTGTCTAAACAAGTTCAATGCTTCAAGAAACAAAGTCAAGTTGAAAGAAAAATCTCAACAGATTCTTGATTTATGTGATCATAAAATTACCTACTTAAGCAAGTTAAAATAAATGGTTCTACAATGAATCAAACTGGTTTCTCAAGAAGATGTATGTATAATTGCAACAAATTCCTGTACACTAAGCTGTGAGCAGACAGTGATTATTTTGGAGAAGAAAAAATAAGAAAAATATGGAATTAGTAACGCAGGTGCTGAAATGGCAGGTGGCACGACTAGGAGAATGCCATTTTGTTCCCATTATCTACTGACCTATCCCCCAAGATCAAAGGCTAGAGTAACCAAAGTCATCTAACAGTAGTGTGCAGGACTGTCAGCTAACAAACAACAGAAAAACAAGTCACACTATGTTATCGGTGGTCACGTTCTCCAGGTTAGTCCAGTAACTCAAGACTTTACATTCTTTCGTCTTTGTTTATTTTCACTAAACATGTAAGGTTAATAAACAGACATAGTCCAGAGTTAGTAGGTTGGTATTATAACATTTATTAAAATAATGCTATGGGTTAATAGAAACAGCAAAGAACCAAAGAATTAAAATGCAAGCTATGTAAAATCCCAACTAAAACCCAAAGTGTCTAAAGTATTCATTCATTAGCTAACTAAAAGCCCAAGAAAGACAAGACACCCAATATAATAAAGTACTGCAAAACAATTGGCAATTTTCAGTTATCAAAATTGTGGATTTTGCATTTGTATCCTTTTCTCAATCAAGAAAAAAATTCTTTTTGAATGTTATATAACATACATATAAAACAAGATAGAAAAATACATTATAAACTTGTAACAATGGCTGTAAATACATTATCTTACATGTTTCTCATAGGCAATAGGTTGGTTATGGTACATACATAGCATGAAACTACTAAGATAATAAAGAATAGACAAAAAATACATGTCTGCTGTACGGTAACATACAAGCGACACTCCCATCTACCCACACTAAAAAAATTACATAATACTGTCAGAAAAGTCTTAAAAACTACATACTTTAATAAGAAATAAATTCAATAAAGAATGATAATACTGAGAACCAAGGCATTCAGAGATTTCAAAAGTCATGCTTTTTTTTCAGTTGATCCAAAATTTTGTCAACTAAGTTTTCAAAAGTTTGTTCAGAGCCAACATTACTCATAAATGTCACACATTTATTGTTTCATACATTTACTTTCTTCCCCATAAAAGACCTTTGATAAACATCTAAAATGTCCAGGTATAACACAGTTGAGATGAGACTGAATCAAATACTGGTATTGTTTTTTACTATCACCTCAAGTGTTTGAGTGTCGCAAATTTATTTAACCAACCAAACAAAATAAAAATCAAAATGGCACAGCATATATCGTAAATAAATCAAAACAACTGTATGTGTAACAGAAAGACAAAGCAGTGGCACATTAAACCAAAGCTAGCTGAGTACGAAGCAATGTCTATTGCATAGTAAATAAACTGAAAACGGTTCCAAGTGAGACAAGATGATAGAGGTCACCTTGAAGGTGCCCACTGAGCTTCCTGCTGACCGTGACTGTGGAGCTGAGAAGGTATGAAAGAAGGCCCGAGTTGATGAGCTGGGGATCCACCATCACTTGAGATTTGCCACATCTGGTACTGAGCAGTTAATGGTTATTCACTCAAGTGTTTAGATGCAGGCTTCGCACACCAATCACTTCAACTACAAAATGGTTTGAACTTCACGAGAAACTGGAAGCTCAAACTGAAATGCAGTTCCATATTATATGCACAATAATGCTAGTTTTTCACATTCTTGTAAAGTTTAAAAAAGGGGGGGAGGGACAAAAATGTGTGCATGTAGAGGCAACTACTAAAGCCAGCAGAGAGATGGGCTGCACAAGTGATCTGGTATGAGATAAGGAAGTCGGATTCAATGTGGGTCACTTAAAAATACCGTTTTTCAGAATGAAAATCGCAAAGGAAAATTTCTGTGGAAAAGTTTGGTAGGTGTACTATTATCTCCAATTTGTAAGAAAAAAAGAATCCAATTTATCCCCTCTTCGCCAAAGAAAATAAAACTCTAATTTTGTCTGTAAAATGATGTTCAGATCTAACATAATTTTTCTCTCAGAATCCTCTGGGCTAATATTACAGACTATAATAACCAAAAGTACTCAATTATGATTTTTAAAAGAATGACACTTTAAAACTTACTAGTCAAACCTAAGAAAAGTTATTAAATTTTTCACAGTATCAGATTTGGCAAATTTGCATCAAGGTAACGTGGCACAAATCATATAATTCAAACCATCAACTCATTTAACCTCCCCTCATAACTTCTTTCACATACTGGGCGACTGAGTAGCATGCATTAACTTTTATTCTGAGGGAGGAGCTGATCTTACAAGACACTTGACTAAATGACCATGAAGGAAAATAAGGCACTTTCTTTTCTTTAGACTTATTCCAATACTTAAAAAATAAAAAAAGAAAGACAAAAAGGCTCTTTTGGTCTTTTGTTTCTTGACAACCACCAGAAAAAATTATTTAATGAAATAAAGGGTTTCTTTGTTCTTTTTCTTTTTTTTATAACACTTGAAAGTATAAAATGCTACATTTCCAAAAATATATATATTTTTTTCTGCACCAGCACCCTTGTATAGTAAAAGTATCTACTTTTTGTTCATTTGTTTCAATGCACTACACTTTATCTACAATTTCATTACATGTATACAGCAAATAGGCAAGCATGGCTTTTACATCCTTAATGATTTTTTTTTTCTATACAGGGAAGTTTAAAAAAAATACTTGAACAGTTTGCCCAGTAATGTGACACATAATGCATGTACCTTGTTCTCAAATATTTGTTTAAGGAGGTGTAAAATAATGGTTCAGTAATTTTAACTGAGATAGTTATCTTTTTAAAAATAGTGTTGCAGTTTTGCTGTTTGTATTACTTTTTAAAACTCTTCAATACGTTTTTGTCTCATGGCACAATTTCTTCTAATACTTCAAATTTTGGCAGGCAATATAAAAAAAAAAGGCTGCAACTTCTGCCCTTTGAGGGCATAGTAGTGACTAAACAGCATATCAAATTTTGAATACTTTGTGAAATCGCTTCACCAATGACATCCCTGACCAAAGGTTCATGCATGATGCACCACCACACAGTACATTCAGAGAGAGCTTTGACTTCGCTATGGGAAGAAAAAGATTCCTAGAGTCTCTCACAGTAACTGCCTCTGTCATTTGAGTAGTTAAGGGCCATCTGTCTCCCTTTCTTCTTACCGTTCGCTTAGGGTAGGACATTGAAAGATGATCAGTGCTGTGGGATGAACTGGGCCTTATTGCTTTACTACTATTCAGTGCAGGTTCTAGAACCACTTTCACCCAAACAAGGGAGGGAAAAAAAAAGCTGAGTTGGAGGACAATTTCTTTGTCTTTTGTTTGGTTAGATGGTAAGACGAACGGACAAGTGCCTCAGCTCGCTGCACTGACGACAGGCAAGCAAAGGCGATTACCAGTTAACTGATCAGCAGGCAGGCATGGTCAGGTCATCATTGGGTGAAGAGTTCAGAGGTCAGAAGGTCATAGGTTAGTTGCCGGTGGCGGCTGGGTGGTTAGAAACAAAAAACAAAACAAAAAAAAGAAAAGAAAAGATAGAGAAGAGATTAGTTTCAGCTAGTGACGGCTTAATGACAACATGAAAAACTAATCACAACTAATTAAAAAAAAGCATGTTTAACTCTGACAAACTGATTGACACCATCTACAGAATACAATAAAAATCATGACAATTTCATATCATGATTTGAACAAATGAAGAAGAGCCCACTCCCACAAAAAAAAAAAAAAATCAACTTGTTAACAGAAAAAAATAGAAATAAAATACAACTAACAACTAATAGTTAGTAGCAGTCAATGAAGGAATTGGAAAACAACAATGAATAAATAGGTTTGGTATACAGAATTTTGAACAGTCAGTGCAGTTATCAGTATCTGACTGCTATTAAGCATTAGTATTCTCTCAGATGCAAGCAATAAAGCAACTATTAATGATGGATGTGATTATTAATAATTGATGATCAACAGAAATGAATCTAAAGATACTTAAAATTTCTATGAACAATTTGGTTCAACATAAACTCTGGGCCAAACAAGGTTTCTTTTGTTCAATAAATGTTTATTGCTTTTTCAATTATTCTATTTACAAACAACATGAAGTTTCTTGGCCTCATGATACAAAGCAATACTGTAGTCTAGCAGTGTAGGCAACATCATGGGAACCAGAAAAAGGCCAGGCCTTTGGCCCTGGCCAACGCTTTCCAGTTGAAAATACTATTTTACACATATAGAACACTTATAAAATGCACTTGCATGTAAACACTGTAAAATCCTGCCATTTAAAATTCTATATCTCAAAGAGCTCTAAGTACATCAAAAAATAGAAGTAATTTCTAACTGATACCAATAAGGCATTTTAAAACTACAAACAGCTTTCTTTACTCAATTTCAAAGCTAATACTCTGCAAATACAATAAAATCTGACATTTCATATACATTCCTGCTTTATAATTTTATATTTTAAAAGAAGCCACCTGTAAATACTATTTTCCTTTGCAAAATAACAAAAAGAACAAAAAATTAAAAAAAAATTACAGTAAAACATAAAAGTAGTTCTCAAGTGGAAAAGTCATTATTCCCAATGTCCTTGAGTTGTCCCTTCCTTAAGCAACCTGTCACCTTCTGCTTCACCAAACTTGGTCCACTTAACAGTAGTACAGTTTTTAAGACTCATTCAACAGCTTAATTATTTCTACTATATTCTGAGGTTTAAACAGAATTTTCTGTACTGTTGCCATTGCAACTAAGGCAGAGGAGATGTGAATGAAATGGTATTCAGTGCAACATGAGATTCTGTGCCACTTCAAAAATCAAAACCCAGCAGGTATAATGTCCACCGGGTTTCAAATCATATGTTTAATGGACTGATTTACCTTCACAGAATGAAAATAGTCTCTTCAATCAATCATTTATTTAGGACAGTTAGTGACTGCTACCAAAAAAATACCATATCCTTCATGTGACTAAATCATTTCTGAATTTCCTAAAAATGAAGTGGAACTTTATTTAAAATTAAAAATGCTATTCCAAATCAAAAGAGGAAACAAATATTTAACATGATATAGTCACACTACCTTTTCACAGATTCTTCAACATATATGGAATCTTTAAAGCTTTTTTGGCTTCTAATTAAATTTTTGAGCAAAAATGTTTAAGTATCTTATTATATTTTTTATAAATCACTAATCAGAAAATTTTCTGATGTTTCTTTTGAGTGTGAACAAAGCAAACAATCAATTTATATATACCTAGAATACACCTTCTGCCAAGTCTTGGCCTTTTATAGTACATACAGGTATATCAATTGTGCAAAATCACTTATAGTTCAATACAAATAAAGTCAGTTGGTCTTTTGTAAGTTTCAAATTCAGGTTTGAAGTATGTAAAGAGGTGGGCTTATTTTTAGTAAAGAACAAGGTATTTGTCAACCATGTAGTTACTTTTAGGCTCATACAGAATTACATGGTTATATGTGTAAGACTGACTTTCCTTACATCAAGTGAATGCTTATAATAATCTCCTCTTCAAAACAATGTTTTGAAACTATGAAAGAAACCTCAAAAATAGAGAAAACAGTAGTATCATAAAATATCTAAGTGAAGGACTTCAGGCATCTCCTTAGACCCATGAGTGCATAGTGAAATTAAGTCTCTAAGTATTCCATTACTTATTTAAAAAAATTAGCATTTCGGTTTGCTGACATTGCATTCTAAATTAAAATGTGAATTAATAAAAACCAATTAAATACAAATAAGAGCCATGCATGGAATGTGTTGTCATTTTCGAAATAGAATATAATCTTCCTTTAGTATCTTCCAACTATCTAAAGGAACTGGATTAAGAAACCCAATAATTAGTGTGTTAAAACAAAACTATGAGAAATGTCCTAATAGTATACAGGGAGTAACAATTAACTACAGAAAAAATACTCTAAAAAACTCTGTAGAACTACTTTAGACATTAACAGTATGAATATAGCTTCAAATCCTAGTGACTCCACTCTAAGAGAAGTTTGTACTCACACTTGGCACATCTGCCAACAAGTACTATATGTTAATGGAAACCTGCTGGGTATGGAGTCTATTCACTGAAAAAAATGACTACAAATAATGTATACATTAGTTTTAAAAAGTCTTCAGAGGCTCTTTAATCATGCATGTATGAAATATTATCAAGCATCTTTGGAAAGGCATTTCTAATGACATCATCAGCTGTGTCCAGTCCAGTATTTATGATCAGCGTTCAAGATAACCAGGTAAAGCAGGATAGGTCTTTCATAGAGGATGTATAGTAGAGTATAAACTTGTTATTTTCCCACAATTAGGGTTTTTTGATTAATTTAATTAATAGGTAATAAATGTGCCATAATTAAAAAAAATCTTTTCCTACCATCTCATGCTGAAAATAAACTTAAAAGCATCAACAAAAAACAATGTCAATAAACCGAAAATAACACTCCTCATGAGCATAAATACTTTATAATAAAGGGTATATATAGGACACAAATTGAAATGTTGATAAGGAGAAAAATGAAGACTTATGTTCTAGTCACAGGTTAGTCAAAAAGGATTTCATATACCACAGAACTTCAGGAGATGGTTTACCTTCAGATATTATATTTTAGCAGCAAATGACAAAGATCAAAGGATCCATTTTGGCAAGAGAATGTAAGAATAAAAGGGAACTGATTTTCTAATTTACATTAAAATGTCCAACTACATGACAGTATCTTCACAGTCCTGACCTGTTGATTTCAGCTAAGTACTTGGCATCTACACTCTTGTGTTTATACAGTGGCTCAAAGGTTTTCTTGTAGTAAAGAAAATTGAAACTAAATCTTCAGTTTTCTCCAAAAGTACACAGCAGGCATATATTCCTTTACTTCTTTCAATAAAGCACCATCCATTCAGTCATTTTGCAATACCAACCCCAAATTTTGGAACAATAAAAAGGCAAAATTTAGCAAGAGTAATTATTAAAAATAGTTAAGGCAACATACAAATTTAGTAGATTCCCCAAATTGGCTAATTTACGTTTTAGTAGGAATAAATCATAGCATATAATAATAGATTTAATAAGTCAAAATATGAAGGAAGGAAAAAACCCACCCCAGCCCTTAAATCTGTGAATTGTTAAAATGAATTTCCGAAAGGAAAAGAAATGGTATTCAGGTAAACAGTTTTGTTTTTTTTTCCACCAGGTGTGGTGTTGCAAATTTTATGGACATCCAACGCATCTCTTATAAACAAGAACTGCAGAACTAAACTAACCTCGGTCTGCGGTCACAATCCTTTGGTAAGGATGGACACGCACATCGTGCCTTCGAACTTTAGTAGCCACCGCACCTAGTTAGATTGCAATTACCAAGACAGAGTTAGAAACATACATAATGGGAAACACATTAACAGCAGGTTTATCAAAATGGATTTCAAATGTTCGTTTACTACAAAAGCTTGTTTTAAGAAACATGTTAAGGCACAGTAGTTTTAAAATTAACTGTAATGTCATGTATATTCTATGTATCTATTAATATTGCATTCATTTCAAACATGTTGGCCTTAACCTATCTTATCCATTCATTTACAATCCCCAAGTTACAGCATTTCATCAGCTCTTATTAGATCCAAACATATTTGCGCTTTACTAGTCACATATTCACTGAAGTGCCTTTCTTGCAGTAGGACTACTTAAATAATGCCACGTTTAATGCTGAGAATTATGTGCTAACCTTAAGACCACTTCCAGAGTTTATCACTTAAGAAAGTTTAAAAGCCATTCTTAAAGCCTACAGATTGTGGTTTTAAACTTTGAGTCAATAAGTATGAACTGCAATGAATTAGGTGATTAGTAAAGCAAACAGTGTAGTACACTTAGCAGTCAGTATACTCCTGTACACTCCTTTATAAATTACCGTTACTTTGTAGTATTACAGACTAAACCAAATTAATAACATAATTTTACTTTATATCTATGTGCAAAAAGTGCAAGTAAGTCACTGACTGCTAGGCTAAGCTTTTTCCCCGGAGGCTGCTGAGACTAAGCATTTGTTAAATTCAGATCTGATGAGGGCTCGGTTAAGACCGTTCTTGAATTCTTAGCCTTTCGTTGGGAAAGCCATACCTAAAGATAAAAGGAACGGAATTAAAAATTAGTCATCAATGAAGACTTGATGCTAATACCAATCTCCTCACCACCACCAACACACTTGTCTGCATCTGTTTTGAAGGGCACTGCTTCTTTTAAAATAATTGAGCGTGAGATATGATACATAGCATGCATGTTATCTGTGTGCAAATTTATATTGTAACTTAGCAATTTTAAATAATTTCCTCAGTCCTCTAGGGGGTCAATATCATGTTTTACTGCTTAGGTGGCAACAGGAGAGATAACATTGGTTATGAGAAATTTTTCATTTAGTATTTATTATTAATCACCTTATGAATGTTACGTATCGCATTTTACTCTTAACTTTGCCTAATAGTCAAGATTTTATCATTAAAATTTTTTCCAACAAAAGAGAAACATGTTTCGCAAAGAGAAACAAATTTTATAGCAGTGCCTCTTGATGTTTCTAAGCAGTAAACTGGTTGATCACCCCTTTGTCATTTTAGATAAGCTAACCATATACAAGTATAATTCAATGGCAAAACCAAAGAGATCTTGCATTGAAAATAATGCAATAGCAGCTGGTGGGGCTAACAGCCCCAGACCTATAAGAAGTCAAGAGTTCTAACTCCTCAGGAACAGATGCTGTGGGTGCAGCAGAGAGGAGTTCTTGGGGGGAGGAGGAGAGCATGCACAGGGCCACAGGATAGGGTATTAATAGGAAGAAAAACTTAAAAATAAGGTTATAGGTTACATGTTATTTTAAAAATGCTTCAAGAAATGAGCAACAGAAACAAGCGTTCCAATCAACAGTTCTGTGGTATAATTCTGACCTGTAATTACTTTATACAATGATGTAGATGGAAAACATGTACAACAAAATGTATTTGTTCATAAAACAAAAGGCACCTGAATGCATGCACACACACAGATAACATACAGAGCATTGTGGCTTTCTTTAACTGAACAATGAATTTTCAAGTTTAAATCTTAATGTCCAAGTTCATTAAAGATCTTCAATTTGTTTATAAATCAGTATTATTGCTGGGGGATGGGGGGAGCTCTTTAAAAGATCAAAGTCCTGAAAGTCAACAGAATGCATGCAGCACCAAGGTCATATACAATTCAGGAAAAAAGTGTTCAAAGAATCTGTCTGGTAAAACAAAGGGGTTGCAGGGAAACAGTTTGTTCCACATTGACTGGTCGTGTTATAACAGCTGCTGTATTCTAGTCCTTCATCCAGCAAGTCAATGGGCTGAAATATCAGGCATGACTGGCATTTCAATCCACTCTATAAAAAAAAGGCATCAGTAATGTCTTTTTCAAGCACACCACTTTTTGTTCATGTAAAACCAAGCGTTTACAGTAAGACTTTAATTTCTGCCTCCAGTGTGACTAATTTAGTAATGAAGAATTTATTCATCTATTCCACAATGTATTGCTGAAATCAGGAGTATCAGTTATGTTTAATGTTAACTAAGACTCAGAAGACATTAATTTAAAAACCTTTTAAGGCAACAAGCATTAACCTGGTCCCATTTTAACTTATCACATATATGTAAAGGCACAATAATATAAACACTATAGAAATCTCAAAAATAGCTCTACACAGAACTTTAAATTTCAGCTGGCAATTAATTACCTCTACAAAAACAAAGAAATCTTTGGGAGGTGGAACTAATGACATAGGTGGAACCAAAATAAAACTCAAGAATTGCAGTAATGTGAAATGTGAAGTATTTCCTGTTTAAAATGTACACAACAAATTTGTCCAATTGAGGTGAATATAAGTTATCAAAGAGAATCTGCACAAATATTAGGTGCAGTTACTTAGTAAGAAAATTGTGAGAAGCTGAAATAAAATCAGATTCAGTTTTTAGCATTTCCTAATGAAAACTTATCTTGCCTCTCTAAAACTGCAAAAAAAAAAGTCAAAGTCTGGGGCAACAAAATCTATCAAGAACATGTTAAGCACCTAAACACAAGCACTTACCTAATACACCACTGGGCTCAATAGGGTACTCAAGGATTGATGTAGCTGGTGCCAATGTATAGGGGTATTCATAGGGCGTGTAGATTAACCCAGCCTCGGGCCCTGGAGGGACTATTGCAGCAGTTGGGTGAGGAGTTCCGTTTGGCATGACAGCGGTCTGTATTTGTCTGATCAAAGGCATTATGGTAGGGCCAGCTGGCGTAGGCGTACGCAGGGCAGCTGGTGGGAGGACAGGCGCAGGCCCAGTAATGATCCTTGGAGCAGCCTGGGCAGTTGCTGCAAGAGAAAAGGCAAGGGCTGCTACAGTAAGCAAAGAAATTTAGAAAGAAGTATAGGGATAGCAGTATAAAATATGGGAAAATGAGAGGGGAGTAGGGAAAAGAAAGGAAAAAGCAGGAAAGGAGAAAAATAAAAGGAAATCATTAGTACATGCACTGATCACACAAAAATGCCAAAGTACACCAATCAAATGCAATCAGCTTCCCTTTCCCAATCAGATTAAGAATGTGCAAAAAAATAAGGCGCTATAAAAAAATGAATGAGACTACCAAAATGTTATATTTAGTTCCTGTATCTGATATATGTATATAAGATTTAATGAGACTAAAGGTGCATGCAAAAGCATAGGAAAACATTTGTATTAAAAGATGTTATAAAAAATGTGTAGTTAGAGTCCACAGAAATCCAGTCTTGGTACATCCTACAGTGTAACTTGAGTTCCAATAAAACATTTTCTCATGATAGTAAGGCAAATAACCACTAGATGCAAATAAACTGAATCTTTAGTAATTACTTCATAACAGTACAAAACATCCTCTTTCTAAACTCATGACTATTAACGATATTCTCACTTCTCATGAGTTAAATGTAATCAACCACTTGTAAAGTAACTACTTCTAAATTGACTGTGTTAGCTAACATTTGAGAGTTTCCTTAAAAAAGTATTATTTTAAATATGGTATTACTTTCATATAAATAGCAAGTAAATCTTAGGTTGTTTGAAATGACAAATTTCACATCAGTTCTTTTTTTTAATATAAAAAGCTATCCTTTCAACAGCTTATAAAAGCTATCCCTCCTCTCAATACCTTATAAAAATGTGCATGGGGAAAACTTTGATGTACAAGTCCACCAAGGGGAATAGCGTATAATATTCCCCACACACTGATCTCTGTGAACTCACATCTGAACTTAATAGGGAAAAAAATACTGGAGAGGAAACATGCAAGCCAGGGGAAGGAAAAGAACTTAACAGAAGGGCCATTTCAGTCAGATACATTCTGTCTTCTACATTAAGTACAACAAAGTAAGCTGAAAGCCTTATCTATGTAGTTAACAGAATAAGACATTTCCTCAAAGACACCTTTGAATTTAAAGGTTGAAATTTCATCTGAACAATAAAAACTTACAAATTCAAAACTTTCATATGCTAGCATAAAATAAAGCCAAGGGCAGCCAGGTACTGGTGGCTCACATGTATAATCCTAGCTAGTCAAGAGGCTGATATCTGAGGATCATGTCAAAGACAGCCCATGAAAAGAAAGTCCACGAGATACTTATCTCCAATTAATCACGAGAAAAAGTGGTGTGCTTCTTATAGTAGAGCACTAGCCTTGAGCACAAAAACTCAGACAGCACCCAGGTTCTGAGTTCAAGTCCCAGGACTGGTGCTAAAATAACAGAAAAAATAAAACCAAGAGGGCTATAGTTCATTACCGTATTAAAAATGGGACTGTTGGGCGAGGTGCTGGTGGCTCACACATGTAATCCTAGCTCCTCAGGAAGCTGAGATCTGAGATGGTGGTCTGAAGCCAGCCCTGGCAGGAAAAGTCCCCAATAAACTTGTATCTCCAAATTCACCACTCAAAAACTGGAAGTGGTGCTGTGGCTCAATTAATAGCGGGCTAGCCTTGAATATAGAGAGGCTCAAGGACAATTGCCAGGTCCTCAGTTTAAGACCCATAATAGATACCCTCCAAAAAAGGGGGGGACTGTTGGTCTCATATTAAATGATATAGTTTAATTTGTCAATCTAACTGTTCATGTGCTATGATGCCAAAAGTACAAAGGTCTACAGACAAAACAGCTGAGACAGCTGTAAGCCTGGGCCTCGGCCTCATTCTTACGTGATTTAATGTTGGCATCTCTGTAGGTGCCATTCAGAATGGCAAGCTCCATCAGCTGCATCTTCTTCAGGCTATCCTCTCCTTCTGCCTGTAAGAGAAACACGAGAGCAGAAGCATTAGTGGCTATCCACATACACCCACATGTATCTATAGAACCTTGAACTTACAATAGAAAATGTTACTATAGCCAGTGGTTCCAATCAGAAAAAGAAAGATGGAAACACCAAGGATTTTGACATTATGAATCCTGTGTTTTCCTCAGTGATAGTATGTTCTACGTAATATGCTCCCAGTAGTCACCAGCTACATATCTATTTGAAAAAGTAATTTTAAGGCAAGTTATATTGATACATAGTTCTCCTAAAATCCTTTAATTTAAAACAGAATGTGTTATACATAGGCCCAAACTCAGAATCATTAAAAAAAAAAAAACACACATACATTTACAATACCACAATGAAACAAAATTTTATTGTGGCATTTAAGTGAGTATATTGTAATCTAAACTCAACAAAAGGAAAATTTAGTGAAACTCTAATATTAATTTATACAATTAAAAAAACTTGCATTTCTGCATGTTTATTTATGCACTACCTCCATTCTCTTTCAATATAATTAGCAAGTGTGAGTAAGTTGATGGCCCTCTATCTCTAAGGCTACCATGATTTACTATGCAAATGATGGAAGTATTTAAAAGAGTAAAAAGGCACTAAATAACTATGCTACTAAGACAGACATAAGCCAGTATCATCTGTGATCATGAACATGTTTGCCTTCCATATTCACCTTAGATTCATCTGCCTTTTCTAGTCATTAATAAAACATTCTGCTAATGGTACCTATCACTCAATTTATAAACAATCTACACAATCTATACAGAGCAGACAAGACTAAATACCTGAAAACACAACCATGTTTCTCAACATTCTCCTATCTCAAACCCTTTCATAATTTTACCATCAAAAAGTGTAAAACAAATTAAGATTTCTATGATCTGGCCTCAAACTATCATTTCAGTTGACCAATTAATTTTTTACCGTTTCACACACAAACCTAACATTAACCATATCACTCCATTGTCTGTGCACATTTATACACTTTTCCTCCACTGCAATACTCTTCTGCATGTTATTCTCACCCTCTCTTTTTCTAAAATCCTATGTCCTACCTTTCTTTAGGGGGCAGATTATATGATTTCAGAATAGAAGTTTAGAATTACTGTTCAATATCAATACTCTCAAAGTGAGCTTCACTGGAGAGATCTCCTTCCTTCCTCCTTTCCCCTCCTTGTCTCATTATCCTTAGATAGCTGTACAAAGGGGTTTCAATTTAGCATGTCAGTTTCTGAATACAATGCATACTGATCAATGTCAGCCCTTTGATAATTCTCCCCATCTCTCCCAAACCCACTCATCCCTCCCATTTATCTAGTTCCATTTTTACATATGTACAATGGATATGATTGCATTTGCCCACCTTTCCACTAACTCGCCTGCCCTCCTTTGACTACATACCCCCTAACAACACATATTCCAGCTTCCTGGTATTGACTTTGTTAACCTATGAGGTAACTGTGCAAAGGAGTTACACAACTAAATCCTCCTTGGGATATGCCAAACTTTTACACACACACACACACAACTTTGACATGAGAGAAAACACGTGTTGTTGTTTTTTTGTCTCTCTAGAGACTCACGTAACATTTTTTTCTAGGTCCATCCATTTTCCTGAAAATAATATAACGTTCTTCTGGATGAGTAAAATTTCATTGCGCGTGCGCGCGCACGCGCGTGTGTGTGTGTGTGTCAACATTCTCTGAATCCATTTGTCCATTAAACGGCATCTGTTCTGTAGAATCTATTTATCATTTATCACTGCCTTATCACCATGTACTCACCTCCAAATTATTTGCTGAGCTTTACCCTTTAAATGATTGGCATGGGAATTTTAACTTTTATTTCTTGAACGTCTAAGTCCTACAGAATAAGCATTTACTCACCACAGTAAGAATAAAAGATGGGGGTCTATTTACAAAGTCTGCCTCTGAACACAGTGGAAGGGATGGAACTTAAGTCCCTCTCAATTTAATTTTTACCATGTCCCCAGGATTTAATATTTAGATAGTTTGTAGGACAAAGGGTAAACTAATGCAGCAGTGATACTCAGTAGACACTATGTTGAAAATGAACTATACAACGTGGGGGAGGTGAATCTGGAGGGAAAAAACTGGGGAAAAAAGGAGGGAAGCGGTGACACTGTTCAGAAAGAAATGTACTCGTTACTTATGCAACTGCAACTGCCCTGTACATCACCTTTACAATAAATTTTTTTAAAAGAAAGTGACTCAATAATGTATTTTTCTGATGTAATTTTGTTTCTTGCAGATTCAAAAAGAGGTTAAAACTAGGACAAGTGTAAACTTCTCAGTCATTCTTTTCCATTACAACTGTGATAACATAAGAGTCTTCAGCATTAAAACAGGAAATAGTACGCTCTAACTGGGAGTGAATGTAACTGGTGAGTAATTTAACAAATGACAAGTGAAAGCCAAGTGCTGCTGGCTCACACCTGTAATCCTAGTTACTCAGGAGGCTGAGATCGGAGGATCACGGTTCAAAGCCAGCCAGGCAGGAAAGTCCGTGAGACTCTCATCTCCAATAAACCACCAGAAAACCAGAAGTGGAGCTGTGGCTCAAGTGGTAGAGTGCTAGCATTGAGCTGAAAGCTGAGGAACAGTGCCCAGGCCCAGATTTCAAGCCTCATGACTGAGGAAAAAAAAAAAAAGAGAGAGAGAAAGAGACAGAAGTGAAAACATTATGAAAATAATATTTATTCATGTCACTGACAACTTTTAAAAGGCCTACTGTGCAGTATTCAGAAAGAAGATACTGTGTATATTTGGGATGATTGTATGTTTATGCCCCATCAACTTGTACGAAGATGAAAATTAGTAAATGGGAAAAATTAAAAATCCATTATCATTAAATGCAATTAAATTTGTTAACGAAACATAATAGTATTAGAATTTTAAATTCATCAAGAGTTTCTAGGCACTAGTTACTGACATCTGTAATCCTAGCTACTCAGGAGGCTAAGATGAAGAAGATCATGGTTCAAGTCCAGTTGGGACAAAACAATGTGGTAAGATTCCATCACAAAGCAGAGCAAATGGCAGTGGTAGCTCAGGCCTGTCATCCTAGCTCTTGAAGAGGCTGAGATCATGGCCATACCCAAGTCTGAGACTCTTACCTCCAATTAACTAGTAAAAAGCTGAAACTGGAGCTGTGGCTTATGTGGTAGAATGCCAGCCTTGTGAAAAAAAAAAAAAAAAAATCCAGCCCCATAACCAGCCACCCCTCCCCAAAGGCAGACCTGAAGGTATGGATGAAGTGGTAGAGCACCAGCTGAGCAAGAAATCTGAGCCAATGTTTAGAGGCCCTTAGTTCAAATTCTAACACATCTCCCTTTCAAGAGCTGACATAAGTTTAAATCTATAGTAAGAGAAGAATAAAAAATATTACATATTATACTCTAGACAAACATTTTAGAAATGTTTATCTCCAGCCAAACTAAGAAGTAGTGCAAATGCGAAAATATCAGCAAGAAGGCAAATTTACCTCTATCAAAACCAGGAAAAAGACAATATGGTGCAGAGTGAACATGATTAAAAACATATCTGAACTCAGCTCGTTCTTTGGATATTAAACATAAACCAAAACAACTACTCCTTAGTTGATAATTCAGTGTCAAGGGGGGAAAAAAAAACAAGAAACGCATGTATGGCCTGCCAGTGTACATATAAGCAGTCTTACCTTTTGCAAGACAAAACAGGGCAGAAATCAGTGAAAAAGATTAACAACTGAACTACCAAACCTTTCATCAGGTGTTTGAGCCACCTGATGATGTTGTCACTGTGCGTGACAGTAACATGACAATATGGTAGGCCTTGGTACACTACAGAAGGCTATACTAACACTTCCTCAGAAAAATCACAAAAGTCAGTTGCAGAACTAGCATTCGAACTTGAATCAGATGGCTTGATATGGTATGAGTTCCACCCTTCCAACACTGTATTCCAAGAGCAGAGGCATCTTGCCTTAAGAGACAATGAAGTTCATTCTAAAATACCTGCAGACGTGGGAGTGGTGATTCCACCGTAATGCCTGACAGAAGTCTGGTCTATGTTCCTACCTTAATACTACTGAGGGTGTATGCTATTAAGTTTTTTCTATGGTTCAGAAGTCCTAGAGCTTCTATAGTAAGACTTGAGATTTCTCTTTAAGTTTTGATCAAAAATGATATCCTGAAGTTGTATGTTTTACTTAGACATTTCCCAAGGTACTTATAGAAACTCAATTGGGGTCCAACATACTACATGCAACATTAAATTAAAATAATTTTCTATTATGATTAAGTGATTACATAAACGTCACAAATTTCACAGTATTGTGAGATAGTGACAAAGTCACAAACACATTTAACCTTCATGAGGCAAACTGTCATTATGGTGGTCTTTAACAAAGGAAAATGCTCTTATGCAACCAGTATAAGGTCAGTCATAAAGTCATATGGTACGCTGCTCAATTCAAGAGATTCTCTGCAATCACCTTCTCATTCCTTAAGTATTTACCTTGTGCAACACTGGGATTGGTTGTTATGAATGGGCATCAAGATAGAACATTCCCAATAACCAAATCTCCTTGGACCTCATACACCAACCATCTGATTTCTCTCATACTGAAATTCAATTTGCCAAAAGCAAATTAAATATAACTTTTGTGTCAATCTTCCATCCATATTGTGGATAGCAGTAATACATTTGTTTTAATAGCTCAGTAATATTTTATCAATGCTTCTGCTACAGCCATTTGGTAATTTCTGATTCTGAGACACTGCAAATAAAGACACCATGAAAATACCTATTCAAGACTTTTTTGTGAATGTATGTTTTTTCATTTATCTTAACTAATTATCTAGCAGTGGCTTTGCTGGGTCACAGAGTAGAGGAATTACATTGGAAATATGCTATGAAGAGAAAGCACTATGAATAACAACTTCATTTTTGAGACACAAGGGCTAAAAATAAAC